GGGATGGTATTTAGATCACCAAATAGTACTAGTGATGAGGTTGTAGACTTGCTCGCCGAGCCGGTGAGTTTGATTCCAGACGTTTCGTCACCCTGCAAGGTAACATCGTCAGTGCACCTCTGGTGAAACATTGGTGTTCTGTCCCCTTTGTTATTTATATGCCTCAGTTTGCTGGGATGGTTGTTATCACTTCCCGTTCTGTTTTTCAGTGGTTTGTATATTGGGTCCAGTTCAGTATGACGTTGATGGAGTTCTGGTTGGAATGCCAGGTCTCCAGAAATCCCCTGGCATGTCTCTGTTTGGCTTGTAATATTATAGATGTGTTGTCCCAGTCGAATTTGTGTCCTTTGTCCATTGTCTTTGTCTCAATACACACAGATAAATATCTATTTGACATATAGATTGGGTGCATCAAAAAGTTGACGATACTATGGAGGAGGAATGCCTAGAGTGTGTACAGGGAGGGTATCCTCAATGTAAGGGCAGGACTTCACCTCCACAAGGACTGTGTGGTTGTCGCTTATACTGATACTGTCATGGACATGCATCTGCAACTAGCAAATTGGTGAGGATTAGGACATGTAGGTTTTCCCTGCTTAGTGGTTACCTCACCACTTGCTGCAGACATAAACTAGCAGCTGTCCTTAGGACTCGACTAGTTTGGTCAGTAGTGGTGTTGCTGAGCCAATTCTTGGTGATGGGCATTGAGATCTCCTTACTCAGTTCACTCTGCACCCTTAACACTTTCAGTGCTTCCTCCAAGTAATGTTGAACATGGAAGAGCACTGATTCATCGGTCAAGGGGAGTATTGGGGTGGATGGTATGTGCTAATTAACAGGTGGTTTCCTTGCATGTGTTTTACTTGAGACCATGAGTCTTCAGCTGGTCCAGAGTCAATATTGAGCAGTCCCAGGGCAATTCCATGCTGTACCCCACTATGCTGCTATCTCTGCATGCCCAGTGATGATGGTTTCTGGGGTCAATTAGGTATGATTCCATTTGACTATGTCAGACTGTTCTTGACTAGTCTCATAGACAGCTTTCCCAATATTGGCACTAGCCCCCGGATAGTATTACTAAGGAAGACTATAGATTAACAGGGCTGGGTTATCCCGCTGTTGTTTCAGGTACCTAGTTGAAAAGCAGGTGGTTTCACTTTTGGACCTTTTAGCAATTTGACATTGAGTGGCTTGCTAGGCCATTTCAGAGGGCAGTTAAATACATTCTGTGGGTCTGGATCTTGTACATGTGGTGGATTCTACCCCTGCCCCAAACTGACTTTAGTGAACCAGATGGTATTTTTTACAACAATTGACAATGGTCATTATTGAACCGTTAATTCCAGATTTTTTAAGATTAAAACGTTACCATCTGCTATGATGAGATTTGAACATGAGTGCCAGAATGTTATTTGGCTCTCTATAATTAACACAGCTGCCTCACAATGCCAGGGACCCAGTTTAATTCCACCTTCAGGCAACTGTCTGTGTGGAGTTTACACATTTTCTCTGTATCTGCGTGGGAGTTTCCTCCCACAGTCCAAAGATGTGCAGGTTAGGGGGGATTGGCCATGGGAAATGCAGGGTTACAGGGATAGGGTGGGGGTGGTGGACTCAATAGGCTGAATGGCCTGCTTCCACACTGTAAGGAATCAATGATACTATCTCACCATCTGCACCATCCCCATTTTCATTGGATTCCCTTCACATTCCCAAAAAATCATCAATTGCTAACTCAAATTTGTTCAATGACTGAGTATCCACAACCCTCTAGGTTAGAAAATGCAAAGATTCACTATGCTTTAGGAGAAAAGAATTCTGCCCGTCTAAGTTGTAAAAAGCTGACCCCTTTATTTTGACACTGTGAGTGCAAGTTCCCTGATAGGAAACATCCTCATTTTGTCCGTAGTGTCAAGTCCCTTAATAATTATAAATGTTTCAATGTGATCACTTCTCACTCTCCTAATCTTTGAGAACCATTTGGTCAGGGTAAGAAAGTTAGGGGGTAAGGGACAGTGTCAGCATGTGGGTCTGTCTCAGGATGGTGCCTGGTAGAGTATCAGCATTTTAATTATCTTGATTCAGTGTATTCTCGGAAAATATCCTTCACAATGCACAGAACGGAGGTCCACCTCGATCTGCCAGTTCAGTCAAGTTCCACAGAGTGGGGTGAACAACACTGGACTCAAACATAAGCATAAGCATAAGAATGAACAAATAAACAAAACATTGTTACTTTGCAATCAAGAAATGTCTCTAATTCCCTATAACCATCAACCGTGAGGTGTACTATAGCTCTATGATGAAACTGGTCTCAACAAGTAACCATGATGCACACATGAATAAAGTGAAACCAATTGAATGTGAAATATTTACAAGTGGAATTTATGTTTAAAAATTGCCCATGTCTTATGCCAATGGCAATGAAGTTGGGCAGGAATGTTGTGATTGTGGTGTAGACTCTGTTCATCCCAAAAGCCAATTTGCAGCTCACTTGTACTTGCTGACTTGTCATTTGATGGCAGGATTCACCAAAGCGTGATTGCATGTGTCTGCCGGAACTTCAACTTTTAATGGAATCACATGGTCACCAACAAAAAGCAAGAGAGCAGAAAATGATACTAAGTTCACGCTCCACTGTAGGGACCCACACGCTAAACACCTACCTAACATTTCATGTCTGCAATCTTACATTGCAATAAAAACAAGTCAGAACCAATCTGAATACAGAAAGTTCAGAAAAATCAAAGTATGCAAT